GTGGGATGGGAGGAGGTAGGAGCACTAAGGAGACCTTGAAGGCTTGCTAGCCGGGTGCCGGCTAGTACTGACCCACTATAAAGGCACTTGCCATCCTGCTCGTTCAGCTGGACAATCTAGTATTACCCTCTCCCTCGGGAGAGCCTGCTAACCTACTCTCTTGCCCGCATACACTGACTCGACCCGAAAACTCGCTTCTAGACCCTGGCTACGCTTAGCTCGAACAGCTTCTTTCTCCCTCCCTCCCTCTATCTCGCCCTGTTCTTCTCCCTTTTCTACGTTGCTCCCATCCCTCTTGCTTCTGTCTCTCTCGCATCAACGGTTGGCTCTATCGTTCGTTCTTTTACATTGTCGTCCCTCGTATACGCACGCTGCCTTCCCTATCTCGTTTCCACTCCCTCTTTTCCGTTCTGTTCCCTTCTCGCCGCCGTTCTAAACCACCACTGCTACACCCCTCGTTGTATCGCCGCTGCTTGCTTCGCTTCCTCTCTCGCTCGCTCTCTTTCTCGTCTTTTTTCTAGTTCGTTCTTTCTACTCCCTCGTGCACACGCGCGACACCATGTGTGTGTGTGTCCTGCGCGCGTGCGTCACTTGAAACACACCGGCGATGCGCGTACGAACCCCCGAAAATTCGGGTGTGGTGTGTATGCGTGTGACCGTGTGTAAGAGAGACGTGCGTAACACACTCGCACGCGACGTGTATACGCGCCGAGTGGCTGGCCAGTGCTGCGTGTGTCCCTCTTATGCATGAATTTCACCGGTGCTTAGAAAGAGGGGGGGAGGCTCGGCGTGTAACAGAGCGAGCAAGTATGCGTGTGGTTGTAGGGAGTACCACCTAGCATAGCAACTGCTGTTTCTGCATTTCTTAGCAGCGCGCCCCATGCGAGATGCCGGTATATTTTAGGCGTCTAACGGGTGTCCCGTTTTCGAAAGGGATGCCTGAGTTTTCCGTCGCGGAACGTCAGCCGCGGGTGACCGCATCGACGTCTCCCGTTCAAGCGGCAACATTCGAACTTGTAAATCGGTGACTTCTTACAAACGAATGTAATTATCGTAGCATCGAGAAACGGTAAAAAGATCGGAGGTCATAGCGTACGCAAAGTTCTTCGAGAATGTCCCGACATAGATTGAAGGTATAGAACTTACTCGTCGGTACGCCTTCGGAACGCCAAGCACGTGAAATCGAGCATAAAAGCACACGTCGAATGTAATGCGACATAAGAATCAAATTAAAACCTCGTCAAGCACTATCCCCCTCCACTCTTTCGCACCTTGTTGCGAATTGGCTTTCGCGTGAAACCTGTTGTACTCGGTCGAGCACTCGTGCATAGAAACACTTTCGAACATTACCTACTGGTACAGGGAGACGAGACCATTCAGGGGGAGGGATAGGGGGGGGGGCGACTTGACACGAGATATACTAAATAACCATTTAAGTGCTACTTCCTTCTTTTATTTCTTTAGTGCTGACCAGGAGACTCTGTGCCACTTTACGTTTTGTACACGCATTTTCGATTCATTCGAATTCCCAAGCTAATCCGCCCGGTACGTTATAACTACATACCCTCATTGTACCGAGCGTTCTGCTGCGTTTAATAGACTACTCGCGAAACAATTCCGCCACACGCCATTGTATGTGTACCTCGTGGAGATCTACCCGGTTTTTCTGAAGCAGGCTCGGCTTGTTCGGGGAAGAAAAACGAATTTAAAAAATGTACCGCCGCCTGTACGAAAATAACGAAGTGCCGTGATCGTTATCGATGTCCCACCACCAGCTGCGATCATCCTAAAGCCTTGTATGTCTGTGCACTTCTAACGCAAACCGACTGCAACGAATTTTTCTGATTGGGCTATTCAGTCGCTGATCGACTCTGAAATAACTTGCGAAATCAAACGATTTTTGTCCATCGTTATACTAAAACAGTTGTAGTTTTTTTTTTTTGCTTATATTGTATTAAGTTGTGCAATATGTTTGTGCGGAATTCATTTCCTGACGAATGTATTATATACCATTTAATAGTTTTTGTTTCCCTCTATTAGAATTGTTAAGAAATTTGTCGTTTCGCGTTAGTAGCAATGAAGCTTCAGTTTAAATAGTATGGAGTCTTCAGTGAATAAAATTGAGCATCTCCGACACGCGTTGCTACAGGAGCTTGATTGTGGTTGTCAAGCCACTGAAGTACCGTGAAATATTTTGCTTTTTCGCGTTAACATATTCACGGTTAACATCTTTCGCGTTTCACGCTTAACAATTTAAGTGGAATTTTCGTTCGCAATGAAATGTGGTACTGCAACATTTTTGACCGTGGAATTTGAAACTTTGCCAAAACATTTGGAAGAGGACATGAACAATGGTAGAGAGTACATAACAAATGAAATGTTAATATGTATTTTTCGAAAAAAAATTCTGTAGTAAGTACATTCATAAGAAACTGCATGAACTTATTGGACAACCTAATGTAACCGATATTGAATGATGTGGGTAGAATTCTATGCTCTATATTGAGCACTCTATGTTGAATACTAAAACGAACTGTGATCTATACTCCATGAATACTTATCCATTAATACTTTATCTTCAACCATGATATTGTGATAATATTAGACTGTGGGTTATACGCAGTTGTAGTTTACATGATGTTTTGTCAACCTCGACGTATCAGAAAATTTAGTAACATTTAATGACATTTACATTTTATTTGGAGCATAATAAAATTCTCAACAACGTAAACATGTTCCTGTGTAATGTCAATTTTTTTTAACTTAATCCATAAACATCTATGTATTGTGGAATAAACACCTGAACTCTGGTAGTAATATAAACCCTACTACGATATTCAGTCCAGCTGTACATTCAAAATAATGACGAGGAAGGAGAAACACGTGGATCCGTAACAACTTCCTTGCATATATCGTGAACCTAAGAACATTTCCGAAGAGACGAAATTTAGATTACATCGAAAAATTGTATAACGTCATGACAGTGCTAAAGAAACAAAAATGTGTTCGAGTCGCAATACATCCGAAGGCCCCGTAGCATTCTTACAGAAGCTACATATGTACATGTAATCAAAGCAGGATTACAATTTTTGGAGAAACGTAAATTTTCATCAGATAAATTCGGATGCTCTATTGTGGGTTAGAATGGATCCTGTATCCGCCATGCATTCGGACACTAAACAATTCGCCATTCAAGGGTTAAATCAATTAACTGCAATTTGACTCCACCAAGCAATACTCCGTACTTGTTCACATTTATCAATAGTTCTCATTTACACATTTTTTTATCATCTTACGCTAACTTGAACCGTATTCTTCATATCATTTATCATATTCACTTTTTAATAGTAATAGAGAGTCTCGTGTCTGTCAAGTGAATTTTTTAACCTATACCAGCCAGATTGTTGGTATCAACCGAAATTACTAAATGATAATTGAATATTAATACTGGGTGCGATTTCGAAAACAAAGGAAAAGCGTTTAATAAAAGTGAAATATGTACGTGCGTCACGTGTAGGAGCGCGCCACTGGATCGAATTTTGTTTGTTTCCTTCCGGCGGCCTTGGCAGAGGCGAAGCAACAGAACGATATTCTGATCGAAGCAAAACAAAATACTCGAAACGGAGCTTACGTCTGTCAAACAGTTTCAAGCGTGGAATCACTGTTCCCGGAACGAATTAACGCTTGCAACTTATTTTTTTTTAATCGGTACACAAAACGCCTGTCATCGCTGCGTGAATCATAATGGCTGACCGCGATTTAAAAACAGGCGCGCTCGTAATTGAGGGTCTTATAACAGAATGCATTTTTTTGGAAGCAGACCAATATCGTTCTTTTCTTAAAATTTCATAAATCGATCCAGTATTTTTCCTTTTGTTGTGAAATCACCGTTACGATTTTGCGATATGAGAATGTTGTTAACCGAAATCATTAATCTTTAGTTGTTTTATCTAGTCATTTGATGGAAAAAAGGGGGAGGAATACATAGGAAGTGAATTAGTTTAAATCATTATTTATTAAATTAATATTAAAAGTGCACAATTTTCCTAGTAATTTTCTCGCTTGTTATTATCTGAGTCTATCGAGTCCAGGCGTAACTTATAGATCACAATTTACATTTTTCACGATGGTACTATTAATTCAGTTTCGAAATTTCTTAACGTCCACTTGTATCTATCCAATTGATTAAACGTTGCATGGAACCAACGTACGGTTAGCAAATAATTACCGTCGTATTTAAAACGAGTGGACCATTGAAAAGCGAAATTTGCCATGCGTCCGAGTTATCGATTCCGCAAACGGCGAACGCATACGTTCGTTTCGTCACACCGGCCTTAATAGTTTTGTGGATTTTTTGTGCGGATATATTCAGCGAGGAACTGGTTAGGGAAAATTAGATGGGTCTAACTGGCAGAAGACACCTGGCGCCTAGGAAAGGAAATACTTATGTGTACATACATAATTGTGTGTTCTCGTGTGTATGTGTGTGTAGAGACCCTTCGGACCGTGACGAAAAAACTTCACCAGCACGAGACTCGGACCATAGATACGTTCACATAACCTCCTGATCCTGATTAGAATATGAGTGAAGGCATACGATGGCTCTGGATCACTCCAACGATCCTCTCTGGCGCGCGGTTAGACAATGCACACGTGCAGAACAGAACCCGGAAGCAACTGTCGAGTTCTTCTTCTTCTTCCTCTCCTCAAGTCGCGAAACCGGTGTCCAGCGTTATTTTTCCATGGGAAAATCTCCCATCGGTTGTTCCGGCCGGGGTCAGAGTTCATACGAACCGCGAATTCAAACAGGTTATTCGCACTGACCCAATGAACTAATTTCTGTACCCTCCTCGAGATCCTATGAGAACATGGAACCGGGACACAATTGGCGTTAGTTACACAGCTTTCATTACGATTTCTTAAACTGTCATATTCTTTGAATCTTGTATCATACAATAGACACATCTTTAAATGATTTTCTCTATTCATTTCTGTTTCAGGATACACCTATCTCGGATCATCCCTCGTCGTCGAGCCATCCGTAGCCAGTGGACCGAAGAAACGGTGAGTTCCCGATGCCTCTGTCACTTTCTCGCATGCATTCTCCACGCCCCGTAATAAATTAAGTGCGATTATAATTATAACTCGACAAGACGTGTTTGATGCTCTCTTAATCGTCAAAGATAAGGAACCGTGCTTTGCAGGACGGTAGAGGGGGGGGTATTGTGTTACTTTGTGCGGGAACGGTTGTTCGTTAAATAAATTAACCACCAAGTGTCTCGCCGCTGGTTGTAATTAGAGTCTGTTTGCACGATGAAAATTGTTAACCGCCGGTCTTTAAACGATCATAAATATTACGGAGCGTGTCCCGGAAACGGATTACGCTTACGTTACACGCGCGTTACTAAATAAAGCATTTCGAAAAGAAAAAAGAAAAGAAAAAGGGTGTTATCCGGCTCGTTACACGTCCCGGGGCTGCCGAGCGGACGGCGCACCGAACTTGGTGTCTTACGTGCTAGCAGTCCATTTGTCTTCGAAAAATTTTTATGTAATCGCTTACACAAACTTCCGAAGGGGTCATTAACCCCGGGCGCGGTTTCTCGATCAAAAGAAGAGATCACGCGTAATGCCGGGCATAACGAGGTGCATAATTGGCCGCACGCGAGTAAAATGCTCGCCGCGCCGGGGCCGGGGCCCCGTCTACAAACACGAGACGTTTGGGAACCAATGCCCCCGAACGTGTCCAAGCAAAAATCGTCGAGGATTATCCGCAGTGGAACTCATTCTCGGCGAGTAAATTTTTGAACGGTGCTCGATGTTCCCATCAAAGGACCTCGAGCGCCTAGGGTTCTCTTTGCGTAGGAAAGCTGGCCAATTACTCGCAGCCGAAGTTCGGTTCGAGTACGCGACGGAAATGTACCTACCCTCCCGAAAAAAAAAAAACTTCAATACCGATTCTCATGCAAATTCACCGGGGCGAAGTTCTTTTTCCGTGACTGTTGTTTCTGCGATCTCTTCTTGCCGAGGGGGTTAGCAAAAAAATTATTCAGCTTCATCGATGTTCCTCCGCGTGGACAAGCTTGGAAACTTAACGAATGTCACGTTGTTTTTTCTTCACGTTTTTCGCATGATTCCTCCTATACGTATTTCACTTTGAAATTACACTCTTGAATTACACTTATCTGGGATCTAGTACTTACTATTCCGTAATGACATTCGAGCTTTCATGTTTCTTTCAACTAAATCAAACTGATTTCTACCGTGATAATCATCATCTGAGGGGATCGTGATGTATTGAACGGTGGTGGTAGTTTCATTTTGTTTCTTTTGGCTCGAGAACTTTCCGCGTTTCGGTTCGATTGCAGAGAACGTTTGGGAGCCTCTGCACACCAAAGCAGCCTCCTCCTCGACGGTGAAGCCAGGCGTTCGGGAAAAAAAAATGTGGCACCTGCCTTCTCCTTACGAGCGCCGTGCTGATCCCAGGCTGCTCGCTCGTGCCACAACTGCAATCTGTTATTTCACCATCCCCCGGACTCTCGCCTCCTTTCTCTGTTTCTCCTCCCGTTTACTCATACCACTCGTGCTTCTCGCCGCAAGAAACGTTATCGCCGATACGTACGTGCAATCGTATAAACCGAGGATTTGTTGCTGGTCGTAACGATACCCGGCCGAAGATAAGAGCAATTAAAGACAACATGCAGAGAACAGGCAGTTTAACGAGCCTCGCGACCGAGCACTTTTTCCCGTCAGCCTGCTACTACCTAGCGCTGACGGTAACGAAGCGTTTCCGTAGCAAAAAGAACGAAACTTTAAATGTGTTGTATCGTTTTGAAGTGAAATCGTAAAAAAAAAGGAAAATCATACAGATCATGTACGAGTAGTAAACACTGCCTATAAATGGTCGGTAATCTAATCGTACAGAGCGTAACTCAACAGTTTATGGCATAATACTTTGGATGCATTGTCAGCATTTACATAACATCTTCGATCAGTGTTCGAAGGCTTCTCGACAGTGAACATTAAATATTTCATAAATTAATGGTCATATGCGGCTGAAACAATACCATTGGCTTTAAAAATCCAAGCTTTATCACTGTGCTGAACGTCATTAAAAAGTGAGTGTTACACCTGGTGACCTCTTCTTGTCAGTGCAGAGGAGTCTTCGAACACTCCAGGATAATTTACTGTAATGTGTGTGAGAGAGGGGAGAGGGTTTAGATTGTATCACTATTTAAATTGTACTGCTGTTGTATGTAGAAAAGAGAGGATTAGGATGATTCTTGTGTTTTATACGGAGAGGAATATGTGGCTGTGTAGTTCTGAAGAAACCAGAGATATGTATTCGAAAAACAACACTATCTTCTTGCTATCAAAAGCACTTGTGTTGCGACCACAAAAGCACCCTAAAAGTTTAATAGACAATTTTTATTGGTGATTATAGAACAGTGGGTCCATGTCATGATTTTCAATGACCTCGAAATATGTTCTCAAGGTTATCATTGTGAACAATTTTTTCCTATATATTCGCGAAAAACTGCTGGTACTATTGCAATGAATTTTACTACCACTTATCCACTGTTTCTTCGAACACGTCGCAACACAACAATTTATCTTGAACTGTCTCCAATCAACTCTGAGTTAGTTTTTTTCTTGAACTATGTACAACCAATTTCGATCAGTGTGATGTTTCAGAGTTGATTAGAGAGAGTTCAAGAAAAGAAGTAATTCAGAGTTGGTTAGAGACAGTTCAAGAAAAAAAAGTAATTCACAGTTTGTTAGGGACAGTTCAAGGCATAAGAGGCCCGTGTCAGGAGTCAGGAGGGCTAACAAGGTATGAGAGTTTGTTTGAGATTTATTTTGATTTCGGATCGGGTTAGGTTTGGGTTAGATAATAAATGAAAAGTAATAACAATTATATGGAATTTCATAGTCAATTATTATTTGTATTAGGTGGGATCAAAGTAAAAATGTTAAAAATATTTTTATGAGTATCTCGGAAACTAAAGCCCGGTGGGAGTTATATGTAATAGGAAAAAGTTATTCACAATGATGATCTTGACAACATATTCAAGGTCACTGAAATCGGTGAGGTGGACCCAGTTCTATATAATTACCTTTTTATTTTCTTAATTAACGTATATCAATATTTAACAGTCTAAATTTATACTACCAATATTTAATTATTCATATTACTATTATTTAATTGATATTAAGTTTTTAATTATTGTAGAATACCCAAATATATATATATAGTTGTAAAGGATTTATATACTTATAAAATGTATGTACGTTGTTAGCTTTGCGACTCTGTGTTCAATTTGTCGCTTTTCTCAATTGATTAACGTGTCCTTCCTAACTGGCGTCGCCATTTTGAACTGGTAGATTTGAAATTAATCGCCTGAATTTTCCAGTATATCAGAGACAAAAGTTTAAAATACCCCGTTATACGGATTCTTAAAATATTAATCCGCGTACTACTAATTTTTCATCGCAAACGAATGCAATGCCCTGGAACGAGGGCCGAGAAAATATGAAACATTTTAGTTAAGGGGTACAATAAAGGTCCGTGTCACCGACGGTTCCTTGTTTAACATGCAGCTAACAGTGAAAGTGTTAACAATCCTCGGAGGCATTAATGAGCGCCAAGGCGGCCGAGATTTGCAACTGTATAAAAAATTCATCTCGTAAAACCAGTCCCGCATCCGTGGTGCCCATTAAAATTGGCGTGACAAATGTAACCGTTATTGGAATGAAGTTTCTTTCATGATTCCTAGTGAAAAGATTAGACGGGGAGATTGTTATACGACAATAGACTAGCCTTGGCAGTTCATAGAGAAGCGAGGATCGCTTCCGAGTTGTCTTTGGCCGAGCAGGGAACTCGCGTATCAGCTCCCTGCAAGCATGTCCCGGGTCTCTTGTACCGTTTCTCGATGTTTAAGTCCGACGCATGGCTAAACATTCATTTTCATATAAGCCGATATGTTTCAAATGTAAAGCACACTCGTACGCTGGCTACAGTGGCATGAAGAAGAAAGGGCGAGATGAGACGATGAAAGAAAAAAATGGAAGACGGCCGAGAGAGAAACGAACTGGTATATGTATACGAGCGGGGGAACTAGTTTAAGGGGCTGAGGGTCTCACCCTTCGTGAAATCTTCACAATGATTCCATGGGACCCATCCGCCGCGATTCTGATTCTGTCTTCTTTAACTGGCTCTATCGGGCCTTTTTGTGTTAATTTCGCCACTGTGTAAGGCTACGCGCGCTGCCTCCACGAGTGTGAGAACCGAGCGGAAAATTCTTCACGTATACGGAACATAATTATGTAGCCACTACCGGCTGTGTCGAAATATTGAATCATTTCTAAGGGATTGATTTAACGCGGATGTCAATGAAGTTTGATCAGTTTCGAGAGAAATCACAATAGTTTATAACAAAAAAAGGGGATCTTTCAGTTTTGATACAGATGAACGTGGGAAGCGAAGTCCCCGACTTTGAAATATCACTGACATTTGTAAATTGGCAGATCGTTCGATATTGGTTTCACTGCACGGTTGCATACTCGAAAATTGGAAAATTACTCACAATGTATAATGAGGTAACCACAAAACCAGTCCTGAGTCCAATGAAAAGCGGTTCATTTCGTGGTGCATCTGGACAATGCAGGCACGTGCAGTAGGTATACCGTATTCACTTCTTGCGTGGAAGCATGTGTTGTGGTAAACCGGACCGTGAAAGATGCACTTGTAATCGAATTATTTAATTGAGTTATAAACACATATCAGTTTTCCATTTTTATATTTCATTCTTTCTGAACACTCGGCTAATAACATTAATCCATTCTATGTTCGTTGTAGTTATTAAATTTATCAATTGTTTATTGTTTTTATTACAGTGGTTGGTTGTTATTAGTGATAATTAATCAATTTAATTATCATTATAAAGATTAATTAATTAATCTACAATTGCGACGGATAATACTGTGTGATCTAACATTAGGAAAATACATGATAAATAACATTAATATTTTCAGTGAAAAGTATCTTATACATTGATGTGCGTATAAAAT